GTAAACAATCAGAAAAAATAAAATGGTAGACAGTTTCATCTGTTTCAGATTTTGACAATAGATTTCAATAATTTAACATCAGTGATTATTCATCGAGGTTGTAGTCATGTACAACTACAAGAAGCTTAATGCAGATCAACTATAGAAGGGCAAAATGGGAGGAGGACTAACGCTATGCAACTTTTGAAAGTAAACAATCAGGAATAGAGAAATGAGTACCTTCTGCCTACCCTGAAATCATAAGTATGCCATACTTTGCTCGATGGTCCGCTTAATTTGTATGAACGACTCGAAAGAAATATTACACAAAAAAGTGGACATTATCTCAAAGTACTCGTCAAAAAACAACCGCTTCGGCTTGTTCTTATCAGACGGTATAAACTTCTATCTTTTACAGCTCTTCTGCAACTATTATATAATATTAGAACATGGATGATGAAGAATCAGCCATCTCAAGAAAGGTCATAAGAATTCATCATTACAAGCTTTGATTTCATACTAAAGGAGTACAAATGTGAATGAGTCGCTCGGAAAATGTGTGCTTCTCATCAACTAAGTAAAGAATTGGGAACATTTGACTTCATCACCCATCCGCTTCTTAATCATTACAATAGTTCCCAATAAAGATATTTTTATTTTCATCAATTGTTCATTAGCAAGGACAGTATGTCATAAGGATAGCTGATTATATGTCCTCTCACCCTTGAAAACTGCTGCTTAGGTGAGACAGAAAACATTTCGCACATTTTTGTTAAAGGCTTGTACCCGTATATGCTCTAAAAATTGAGAAAAGCTTTCGCTTCATCTGAAAAGCAGTGAAAACATTGGAAAGTAGGTTTCCTGTCAAATCTGCGGTATCCATTTTTGCCAAGCACTTCCTAGACTGTAGATTTTCAAAGGAAAAAACCACAGCTTTATCATCAAAATTGCGACTAATGAGTAAAACCTCCAAAGTATGGGCAGATAACGTTTACAAGTTAAGAAACTAAATTATTTTTAGTCTGAGCCCCGCTGTCTCAAAATATTCTCAGAATAAATAACAACGCTTTCGCAGCATTTACAGCATTACAAAATGACAAGTCTAAATTCATTTTTCTTTCAAGGAACTGGTAGTGAGATAGTGATCACCGTCTGCTTATTTCGACTGCCGCCAGTGGCGTAAATAACTTTGGCTGAGATCTTGATTTAGATAAGTTCAACTCACTGCCACTATGAGTTCAGTCTATCTGCTGTTATCACCTACCATTTCATGTAAGAAGAATTCAGATAGTGGCGGAGTGATATCAAATATCAGTCAATCATTTATCACTTGATTTCTGTTTTCGCTCAAAAAAACCTGATACAAGAGGTTTTTCTCAAATAACAATGAAAACGATAAGCTAGTTATGTTATTGATTGCTGTACACGTAATGTTAAAGACAGACAAACAGATAACACACTTGAAAGGTAACACCACGAGACCTTAGTTTCTTAGCCAACGCCATGACAGTTCTTTTATAGAAATTTAATAATGTTGTAATTTTTTCGTTACAAACTCAACTGCCATCTTCAGAACTTTTTTGTTGATCATATCGAAACTTGATCATCAAAGGGATGATGCCTATGGTTTTATTGCAAAAAGAGATCTCTTTGAATTGTTCAATTTCTGAGGACACTTATCCGTAAGAACTACCAAATTTCAAAAGTTGAATTCCTGCCAATATCTTAATTGATCCCGTTATGCATGCAATCAGATGTGTTTAATGGGCTTCATTTTCAACGACTTACAAGGAGCGGAAAATTCTTAGGATATTATAGGCATTTATACGTTCCGAAACTTCTTTCTTTTTTCCAACCTATCATAAAAACCTGTGGAAAAGGCAGGCAAACTTTCTATCCGACGTAGCGATCATGCTCATATGCTGGTTACTCCTGTGATTACTGAAATAATTGCCGAGATTTCCAATCCATTGTTTTTAACATGCCCAACCTTGGCAATTTTTCAAATCTACATTTCGAACTTCTCGAAAAGCTTTGATAACTTTTGGATAGCATAAACAAAGTGCAATGCAAATGCAATGCATTTTTTGGCATCTTCAATTATCTCCTTACAAGGTAAGGATAGCTAGTCGAAGTGGCGTTTCCATATGAAATGTATACTCTCTTATAGACCATGCAACGCTAATTCCAAATCTGATTTTCTTATCTGCAAATCGCTTCTGGAAGGGGAATTATGAGAATTTTCTGATGCAGAAAGTGGAAAGCGCGGCTACAATGAAATCATTCATAAATTTACCGTGAGCCTCAAATGGGGGCATGATTACTACCAGAGCCTTTTATGCAATACATACCTTCAGTCTAATAAACTCATCAGTACTCCTTTAAAAGGCCGGAAAGCTAACACCTGTTTTTACCTTAGCCGTCATTGAATTTTGACCTAGAAAATTTCCAGAACTCTCCTCTCAGAAGCGCTTTGAAGATAAGGAAAGCAGATCGGGAATCAGCGTTTTTATGATCTTTAAGATAACAAACATGTCATATGTAAATGTCACTTCGACCAAGTATCCTTGTCTTGTTAGTGGATTTTGAGATAACATTACCAAAAGTCTCCACTTTTGCGACATCGCAAAATGCACAAACGCTTTAATCACTAATAAATCTTTGAATTTAGAAAATTTCAGATATCGATCATTGTACACTAATTTTACAAAAGCAATAGAGCGTTTACCACTCCAACATATCAATTCGCTTTTTATGGGTACAGCCGGCGGGTTAAAAATTAAGAATTATGATGATTTTATCGCCAAATACTCCCCAAATAGGAAAAAACAACACCTCATAGAAAGAGGAAAAAAGTAACATTGAATAACACCTTAGTTGTGCTCCGTTTGATGTTCTATAAGTTTTAGGGATGACCAAAAGTGGAATACGATGGCATCAGAAATATAATTTTTGGAATTTTAAGAAGCCAACTATAGGTGCCAAGAAATTGTACTGCACTGCACATTTCGCGCCTCTGGCTGCTATAAAAGGTTTTCAAAGGTCCAAAAGCAAGATTCAAAAAAAATAACCAAATTGGACATAGTAAAAACATGGGTTCGCAATTTCGGCAGTCATTTCATAACCATAAGAGTAACCAGTAAAGGTAACTGCTGGAAAGAGGAAGAAAAGCTGCCTTGGGTATTATTTGAAACGATCGCCTGCCTTTATTCCACGAGTTTCTATAATAGGCTGAAAAACGGAAAGAACTTTCGGAACGACCTAAAACAATTATATTGCTAGGCTGAAGTGTGAAATCATATTAGGTTGATCCATAACACTTTCACCAAAAAGAAAAAATTTTGTTTTAAACCTACTCAAACAACTAATCAATTCACAGAGCATGCTCTTTGTTATTTATTAGGTCGTTAAGTTCGTAGCGTTTTCATAAACTAATGAATGACAAAGCTTTGATAAAATTCAGCCGATAATACGATCTCCTGCTGCGCGCAACTTTCTGCCCCCTTGCCGTTAGATTTTAGCTTCGTTTTTCCAAAACTCAGCAAGTCTGGTCCCAAAAAGCCTAACCAGCCTAACCTGAGATCGTCTTCAAAATCGAAACAAGCACCATTTCTACGGTTTGCAAAAGAACGGGACAAAAGATAATCTGGTAAGGCGAGATCTGAAGAATATGTCGGGTAATAATATATCTCCCAGTCAAGTCTTGGATAGCTTTGGCGACGTTTGCCGTGCGGAGCCGTCATTTCGCGGTAGGTCTTTGTCTTGCGATTTTCATTGCAGAACCTCCTGCCCGTCCTGCAAAAGTCTTGTTCAAGGCACACCCCGCAATTTTTTTGGTTTCTTTGGAACAATCTCATACTTTTTGTCTCATGTTAACGGGAAAGCACCATTACTCGTACTTGGCAAAAAAGTCCATGCAAAAACACCTTTTTTGTAAGAAGAAACGAGCAGATGTCGAAAACGCTTCTTCATGTCGTTTGAAAACACCACATTTGGAACTGAGAAGTCAAAGCTTGTCAGCTTTTCATCGAAGAAAATAGGTTCAATGTAGAAGCACGATTAGTTCTTTTCAACGATATGTGCATTTTGCTGCAAAACAACCGCCTACCAGGTAAACGAGGGCGAGAATGAAAACGCTACGAACTTATGGAACGACTAGTATATCAAAAGTAGTATTTCATAGTACATTCAAGAAAATCATCATGAAACAAAATGTATGAGTCAATCTAAAAAAATCGAAATTCGTAACTATTTGCAGAGACATGCGATCACTTTGGCTTCTGTTAGTCAAAAAGAATATGTCATAAAACTAAAACCAAAAATAAAGTCAAATTTTAGTAGACTTTCCAGCAATTTTAATGACGAAAGATCGAAAAATCACTTTCTGAGTATTTCTCCCAATCTGCTTATGTCGTTGCCATATGCCCTTGAGGAATTTTGCGTCGAGCACCTGCGGAAAACGCAATCTTCTTTCCCTGTGTATCAAATCAGGAAACTTCATTGATGCTGGAGGACATAACAGAATTTTCCAAAGATTTTGGTGCAAAAATTATGCTTCAGCTTAATGCAATTATTTACATCCTCACACTCAATTCTCGCACCACTGAGGAATAGATGTCAAAAAGTCAGAACTCTTTCTGGAAGTTCTCTATGTGCATGTGAATGATAGTTCTGATATATTCAGTAATGTTCCATTTTTACCAATAAGGGGCAAGTTGTTGACCACAGGGTTTTCATGTATATTCGTCACAAAATATATTGAGATCTTCTTAGGTTTGCATGCCATCTGCTTTTCGCTTGAGTTTAGAATTATGACTGGGGGCATTGTCGCGAAAAACTGACAGTCTTTTCACCGCTGACTTTAGCTGCCGTAACCTTGCAGAGACTTCGCTCATCGGGCAAGACGAACAGGTTCTCAAGTTGTCTATGAATGAATTTGTGATTGTTATATGCTTTGCTCGTGTCTTCCGATGTCGTTCATAGCGCTTTAATGTATTTCAACGAAATCAAAAAAAACATTGTAGCAATTTTACAATGTGCAAAAAATGGGACTGTATTGCGGTGAGGAATACCATAGCATTTTGGTGAGTATATCGTCATCTCTTTAACGCACGTATTTCGTTCTGTCAGTGAACAACAAGAATTGTTCAATTTCCCAACATGGTTTTCTCTCCAAAGACATTCTATCAATCTGCGACTGCAGATACATGATGAGAAGCAAGCAAATAGCAAACTTTACAGAGGACATAAAAGTATAATCATATTGCCTATAGAAGTTGAGTACTTAGACGACCTATTTTTTTCCAACCTCCGATCCACAAATATAACCTGCAGTGATAAATGTTGATAAGATAAAAGATAAAAGATAAAAGATAAGATCAGACTCGCATCCTTCTCGAAATTCTAATTTTGCCTTGAGTGAACCAAGTAAATTCTGGGATATACCACGTAGGATTGAATGTGAATGAGGCAAGTATAGCGAGTGATATTTGAAAAAAAAAAACTCAGAAAATAAAAAGATTACGCTTTTGTAGAAGAGAAAGTTCTTATTCGAAAATTCCCTTAGAATTTAGAACGACAATGCTCAGTTAACCTTTTTAAAGACTACGATCGGGTGTTAGAAGTTCACGAAAGCTGTTGGAGTTCAACAAAAACGAGAAAGTGCGCTTAAATCTTCCGCAGAGAGACGCCACATAAATGCTGGTTTATCTCGTTATGGAGTAACCAGTATGATCGTCCGGCTAGCCGAACTCTCATACTTTTTATGGGTAACAAAGTACTAATTTCTACAAATTTTCTTTTGCCAATGCATAAACAGCTCTTTTTTCAAACGCTGCTCAGAGCACGTGCACAACACAAAACAATGCACACAAAACTAAAAAGCGTTTATTTCAAACTACACTGACATTAGTATTGTAACATTGAAAACAACTGGAATATATGAATTGTTCTGCAAATGACCTTGCCGAATTTGCATTGCGGTATATTTTATTTTATTTATTTTTTTATTTTATGCATACACTCGCGGTGCACCATTAAAAAATCAAAATCGAACAGGAAATCAAGGTAACACAGAATTAAGACAAGAAACCAGCCAATCCTCAGTCACAGAAGCAAGAAGAGATATAAATGGGAAACAAAACTAAACAAGACAATTACCGAAGCTCGATAATGACGATGTAGCCATTAATTGCAGCATACCAAAGGAAAAAGCGCTATGTCCAGACAATCTGTAGAATCTTGCTTCTTCTAAAGTTAATGAAGACCCTGTTTTTGGGTGTCAGCGAGCCCCCCGGTAAAAGCTAGCTGACGTAACCCCGGCTGAATAGTTGCTTTAGAAGAGAGCAAGATTCACTGGGAGTTATAGGGATGAACGTCTAACAACTATGCGCGACTGAAATCCGACAGAGGTGGGGGTGGGACTGGGCTACGGTGAGGGATATGCTGTGAGTGAGACTGGTTGATCTCATTAGTGGAAGCACTATGGTTAGTAACACAACAAACAATGCAAATAGCAGTCATTCTCTATCCTATCCTTGTTGTGGACTATCCAAACGAAGCGAACCAGAAAGCAGAAAGCATAGCGTCAAACGAAAGAAGGACGAACTGAGGCAGTACGAAGAACACAAGCACCACATCTGAACAAGACTCATCTAAAAATCAGAAATATCAAGAAGCTGAAGCACATTCACATCTAACAATTTTTTACGAAAAATTTTGGAGTTTTCACTGGATATGATATGATTTGGTAATGCAGAAAACCATCTTGATGTTCGATAGCAAAAGGAATTGAAAGTCATCGAAAGATGTTTTCTTCCTATTTTGCGATATTGCAAACCAAACCTACCTGTCCGGTCACTACACGGTCTAAAAAACCAGTATTTACTGGCTTTTAGGTTAGTTTCCAAATTCAGAATCCGAAAGCATAGTACAAGTTCGTTAACAACACGCCTATACTTCAAACTATGGAGGTGTAACATATCGAGACGGGTACGATAGGAGGGTAAGGCATGAGGATATCCTGGATTGGGAAAGCATCGATAAAAAAGAATCCTCGTGAAAGTCTTTTGAATTTTTTCAACTTTATCAATATTTCTTTTCAAAAATGGACTCCAAATGGGCGATGCATACTCAAGATGAGGTAACACGTAACTTTTGTACAATCGCAAGAAAATTTCCGGATCATTACTATGTATATTTCTAAAAATTGTAAAAAGCGTTGAAGACGACCTTTTTATGACAGTATTTACATGAGTATCAAAAGTAAGAGAATTCTCTATCAAAAATTCTCTATCAACGTATGCATCCATACGTTTGATTTTCACTTTTTTAGATCTGTCATGGGTTACTAAAAATTGCAAAAGGAAACTTTCGCGATGCTTCCTTTCGTATCTTACAAATGTTCATAACGCAATGTAAATTCTCTGCATTTAAATAAAAGTAGTTTCTAGTCCAGCGTTCCACCAAAGCCTTCATATGCAATTCATGCTGCTCTCATCGGCAAAATGGCAATTGCTACCTTGAGTATAGCCTTGAGTATAGAGATTAGCTACAATGCAGATCACGAAAGAAGACCACTTACACCTGAACGGCACATTCTATTGAGGGAAAAAATTTGTAATTCTCTTTTCATTTACGCGACGGCATCCGAGGGGATAGACTAGGCCTTCCCCTCAGTAAGCAGCTGGAAACTGCTGCCTACCGCCTCTACAATAACTGTAACTTTCCTCAGGACTTTGCAAAAAGAATATGACTTATATTAACTATCAAATCTTCATGTTTGAGAAGGTATAGAAATTTGCGATTTCGCAAATTCGAATTCGATTTTTTTGAATTTTTCGAATTCGTTTGTTCCAAATTTTTAGCAGCCTAACTCAAAATGACCGAAAAGTGGTTTTATTTTTCTGCTTCGATCCCAAAAACTGCTTCCTCATTAGGAGAGCATCAAAAGCGCTGCCACAAAGAAAAGGGGTTCTTCTATTTAGCAAAATTAGTACAGATCTAGAGAGAGCATAAAATTATGATTTTTGGAAAATGATGCGACAGAACTTTTACGTTAACTTAATATAATAACAGCATGTGTGGCAGCTGAGATTATGTAAATTTTATGAAGAATATGAAATGTGGTATATTTTTGGCATACTCGTAGATGTAAAAAGCCAAGATCCTCATTTTTGAAGAGTAGAGAGACTCATGTGCCTAACATCAGCAAAGACAGAAGTAATGCAAACGGCACCTTTTAAAGCATTCCTTCAATCTTGAACAAACAATATTGAAAGACAAAAAGAAGATAATTTAAATTGCTCCAAACTCAGAAGATCCAAAGACGCGCTAGTTAGGCTAACACAGCTGTTTAATCTCGGTGCGTAAGTGATCCATAAACAGCACTGGGGTACAGCGGCTCAACCTCGTCACAGTTTGAGAACCAATTATAGCAGTTTTGATTTAGGCAGAGCCATGAAATTACACATAACCCACCGCCTCGAATACTTCTATTGCAATGAGCCCACTGTATTTAAGGAAAAAATCTAGATTCTAACCTTAAGTTTTGTTTTCTTCGAATTCTGTGCGGCTGTTCCCACATAACCTAATTGAACCACAGTAGAACTTCACATAGTCATTCTCTGTCTAAGTACGATAGTTGGAATAATACATACTCAAATGGAATTCAATCATCTTTTGGGCACCGTTTAACCGGAATAACTGCTGGTGTCTTATGACTTGAAACATTTCTGTACGCGAGCTAGTACTGTGCATGCATAAATTCAATATCTTCGCTCTTACCCGTTCCATGTGCTTGATTATGTGGTTGAAAACAATGTGGCTTAGAAAGACTCTAATTCATTTTGTTTGTGGAGAATGGAACCCAATAAATACAATGCTTGTACTTAGACGCAGCACGTATACCTCACAGGACCGCATTGGCTGTGTTTACAGAAGTGAGCAAGGCTTACAGAGCTGCGCTTACGTTTCTACACATCTACGCGCGTACAAATCCAGTTCTACTTAAGTCTTGCTTCTCTCCCACTCTCAATTAGCAATGAAACTTACCTAGGGATGCCGCAAATGAAGTGCTAGAAAATATTTTAGAAGCTCTGCCATTAGAAGTCGGTGAGCTTAGGCGAAAAAAGTTCTGGCAATGAAGAAGGAATACGTTTTTCGAATAGTTATAGAGCTGCTGATGAAATCGTATTGGGTTGTCAAGAAAATTATGTCGTTTTTTTTTCGGGTTTTTTCGTGTACAATTGATATTACTTGAGAACTAGAGCATACCCAAAGCCGAAATCTTATGGTTAAATTCACGAAGGTTTGTAGTATACAAAGACATATGTGGGAGGGGCCTAGTACTACTGGGGGCGGAGTTTGCCATTTTCCATTTTTCAATTTTTTCTTGGTTTCTAAGCATGGAAAAAATATAGCAAGTGTACCTATGGATAAGTGCATGTGTTCTTTACAAGCAGGAGCAAGTGAGAGGTCCGCAGGATTTTCTAGGGCGAAAATCCAATTTTTGGCACTACGAGTTGCTCGTATGTTTTGGCTCTGAACTTTTCGTGAACAACAAGTTCTGCCAATGTTCGGATATCATCTTCTAGAGACCTTTGCTCTATCGATGGTACCCCTCCCAATGTTTTTTGGATTTGTCCTATGGCTTTGCTATGAAAAACGACATTATTTTCTTGACAACCTAATAGCTGCTACGAAAAGAATAACTACTGTGTGCTACAAATTTGAGCAAAAATTTTTTCAGATTATTGAGTAGAAGATTGAAAAACCGAAAAAAAAACTCAGCTATCTTTTCTTGGCGCCATTTGAATGAGAACAGATCCTTTGGCAACTTTTTTGCATCAAAGCTTATGACTCACAGATTTTCATGGATACAGTGCCATACCTTTGCAATAACTGGTGATACAGGCCTCAATATATGGGTCAAAAGCCATGTGGACCGGTTACGCGGGCAGATTTCGAGGGATCCGCTCAACGGATTCGCTTCTGCTTTTGCATATTGGACTTGACACTTCTGTCACCTCTGCTTCGCAGAGGCTCGCCCTGGCTCTATTATCTAGGCCCTACTCGTTCTCGCATA